GGCATTCGCACTCAATCGAATCAAAGTTACGTCATTACGAAGTTAAAGTGCCACAAGGTGTTGGCTTGACTGGTTAGGAGGCCATAGTTAGTTGCCACGCCTAGCAGGAACGCGTGCGATCGACCCGAGCCTAAGCAACCTTCCTTTCTATGAGTTTCCTGTGATATTAGTAGGCTTAATAATGGTCTCTTCTTGGGTTTAAATGACTCAACCAACCTCGGTTATTTCATCATCGACAACGACCACTTCCATTGATGTGGAATCGATCTCAGCGCTTTCGTCCCTAAAACAACAGCACTTCGGACCATTCAGTGACTCACACCAAAGATATTTCAAGACATGTGGTTATCATTAAGTAAACAATATTTTGCAGGTAAACATCTGAAACGCCTGACCTGGCATCGGTTTCAGCATTACTGCGATCACTGTATTAGGTAAGCGGATTTGGTTCAGAAGAAAGGCTGCATGTTCCCATCAAACGAACCATATCACCCAAGGCATATTACACTCAGAGAATCCATGGGGAAAGGGTGATGTATCTAGGAAGAGCGATTCACCAGCTGATGGGAAAGGATTTGGGATTTTTCTGCATACAGCAGAGATTCGGAGTTTTCCTGTGTGATGTGAACCATCTATCTACACCCGCGTGGTGGACGCAGTTCTTTTTCTCATCTGATTACAAGACAGGACAGCCTGCCGCTGGAAAAAAATTTTAGCAAAATAAAACCCTTCCAAAAGTTCGGCACAAGCTCCCCCCACACCTCCGAGTTCAGTTGCTGTTGTTGAGAGTAGCAGGGTGCTAAACAGTGGGGAAAATGACGAAAAAGCGAAGTGAAACGGTCAAAAAGTGCAAAAAAGCTTTTGTTCTACACGACTCAGAAAGCAATTTTGGACGAGTTTCCCGTTGGCATCGTGCCAATAATCGTTACGGTAGCACGGGTGCATGTATGTACTCATATATCCATGCAGCGCCACTTCGTATAAATCTCTTCGCCTCATATTGTACTTCGCAAATGAAGTGATACGACCACCACCATCGGAGCTTTGTGGGCGCGCGGGCGCGTTGGACGTCCGGATAGGTATTTCACAGTTGATAGGGCCCTATATGGGCACCTTCCTTGAAAAGGCGCCGCGCAGCGCTTGTTCAGGGGCGCCGAATTCAGCCCTTTGCGTGCGGGGGGCGGGTGACACGTGAGTTTATCTTGCCAAAAGGTCCTCTAAAAATGAGTTTTGGGGTGCGATTTTTCCTTAATGTACTAACAGTTCAATCTTGTTCCAATGGCGAAAAGAACACTGTGCAAATTCAGTAACAGGTCTGCAAGAACAGATTTTTTACCAATTATGTAGGACGGATCCAGCAGTGTGACATGGCGTTGACGCTTCCTTTGCATCCATAAACACCGTTTTCGTTGTCACGTCGAAAGAAAAGCGCCTTGGTCACGAGACCATTCAAGAAAAACAAGGTTGATAAAGTCGTATCAGGGAAAAAACCACGGGAATCTTCGACACTTAACGTCACGCAGCTGATAACTACTGGAAAGTCATCGTGAACAGGAAATCACTACGAAAGCTGAGGAATGACGCTGGCGACAGTTGTTTGAATGTTACATGCGTGAGCCGTAACCAGCGTGTCTTCACGAGAATTGAGAGGCGGCGATTTGTCGAGAAATCCGAGGCCGATAAGTAAGGGTGATAAGCAGTTTTCTCAATTGGGAAACAGTCCCTAACTCGTCAACGCCCCCATACTAACCTCGGTTCCACAATTTGATGTCTTCTTATGTGTTTCTCCAACATCGCGGGGCTTTTCGAAACATGTCGACAATGCGGACATCTTCGTGATCCTGAAACAAGGAGGGAATGAGTAGCGAGGTTGGAGCTAGGGAGAACAGTATTTTAGGACACGGTATACCTTGGTCGGATAGCTGTCCAAATTCCTGACTAAAAGAAAAAATTATAGCGCGTTCTTCTTGTCGTGTAATTGGACAACCAGGAATGATCACTCACCTAAAGATTCAAGTTAACATTGTGATATGAACGCTGCTTTAGGGATCGTTATACGGGAGGAAATCGGGAGGAACTCTTGTACCTTAATTATGAACGCCGTCCCGTATTGTTAGCTATCAGACAGAGCCTTTGTCTGTTCTCCCCCCCCCCCTCTTGCAAGTAGAATCAATCGCTCCTCCAAACTGAGTTTTCGAAGTTTTTCCCCGAGTGTAGGCTGGTCTTGTCGTGGAGGGGGGGGAAACACTTTCTCGAAAAAAAGTTGTCTGTGATCAGAACGCGGAAGCACTAAAACCGCTGAAATCTTGTTGTCTGATATTCGTAGCACATCCTCGGAGTATCAGTTTGTTTTGAAGGATTCCTCAGGGCATCTTTCAAGACAACTGTAAAATCACTTGCAATGTTCGAGGCGATCGGGTCCGCAGCTGTAGTAGCGTGTCTTTTCTACGTTTCAAAACTTCAAAGGAAACGGGTATAGCCGGCAGTAGGGTAACGACTGCCGATCTCCATAATCCGCCTGAAGCGCTGATTTTTCCGTCGTATGGCCATAGGTCTTGCGACCAAACCGTTCAGCGTTCGGAAAAGCAATCAGCAGTTAAGAGGGGTGCATTACAAGTAGTTTGATTGACTTATGGCTTAGTGGCAGGCTGGCTGGGTGGATGCGGAACCGGCACTAGCTTTTCGCCACACGCCCAGCGCTCTGTTCTCGCCGGCACTCTCGAGCGGAGAATGTGTGTTACTGCAGCTGTCACATATTCTCCCCAGTCATGGCTAGGACTATGATCCACGGAGGTGAGTGTATAGTTTGTCTTCAACGGCGAACGTAACGTAACGAATCGTTCAACGGGGAAGGCGCAGGATGCGTACAGTGGACTACATTTAGCTCGACAATGTCGGCTAGGCCACAGGAGTCAGTGCCAACTCCAACTATATGCCAAGGTTAGGTGAAGAGCGAAACTCGAGAATCACAGAAGGAAAAGTTGGGTGGGGGAAGCGGCGGCGCCCAATGCGCCGAAGGTGTTCCGCATCAAATATTTGGTGCGGAATATCAAGGGCTATATTTGCATTCCGGAAGTTGAACGGAAGAAGATTTTTAGCCAAACCGAGAGTTTGCCCCAAACATCGCAAGGTTTCGTCCTAAATGGTGAACTATGAACACCTTCTGTTCAAAAATCCAGGGCCTAGCGCTATCTTCATGGCTAGTCCTCTTAAGGCCCGCCCTAATTACGGTACTCAACGACTACCGATTTGAGGAACTTGCTGTTCATGTGAAAAAGGACGGAAACGATATCACATGATCCCGTGGTCAGTGCAAGCCCACAAACTCACTTGATCGGAGGGTTTCGATGATAAATCGTCACGTGATAAGAGACCGAATTGTATCGACCGTAGACCTTTTTGCACACCATGCACATGAAACCGCCATCAGTTTTCTCGATATACTTCTTGTTACGACACCATCCTAAAAAACCCCTGCACTATATAAATATCGTCGGAGAACGTGAGGAATCTGTAGGACTCACCTTCTTTATCCGTGCTGGGAATGATGACGTCACCAAGATTATCGTAGGGCTCTTCGCTATCAAGTGAGTGGACCTTTTTCATTTCCCTGAGATCGCTATGGGCTTTACGTTTCTTGAAAGACTTCTCGTCCACTACTTCTTGAGGTGGGTTGACGGTATGCAACTGCGTCATCATCATCTGAACGAG